TAAGATACTATTGTGAGTAAAAGTATCAAGCATAATTCTTTAAGAAAGCCTTAAGAAAGAGAAAATCTATAAATAATTTATTGGAAAATAGTGTGATGAGTATGAAAGTGAATGTCTAGGATTGGTTCTATGAAGACTTGGTACTTAAGCGTGCCTAGTGCACCACCTCTCTTTCATAGAAACCTACCTGGTGCATTGTTCATTACTATGCTCACTATTCCAATTTATAAAATACTATGACAAGATAAAAACTCTTAAAACTTAGTGCAGAAGTTAAAAGAGTAGAGATTAATTTGGTTGAGTGGAATACCAAATTTAGTCATAGTAAATAAAATATATGATGATCTCTTTAAGGCTAATATGTTGAATATCATGAATGAGAATATGCTAGACACTATTGCTACTAAAAGTGTGTTGTAGCTATTAAATTTCTTTAAGTGATTTTCCTAAGTAGTGGAAAGAAAAGAGATTATATATTTCATAATGGTTTATGCATTTTAATCTTAATGATTTGTAACTTCTCAAAACTTTGAGAATTATGTGTAAACAAAACTTGAGTTTGTTAAAATATAGTTTTATGGCTAAAACTCATAACAAACTTTACTCTAGTATGAGTGAGTATTTGTTTACACGTTTTACAAGACACTTATGGATATCCTAAAATGTTAGAAATGTGGGGGGGTCTTAAAATGTAGATTAAATGCATAAACTTAAATAGAAAATATTCTATCAACTTCTTCTAGTATTCCTGCTAGGTCTTCTCAAGAAATTGATTTCAAGACTAGAAGAAGTAAAAAGCTATTTGGACCAAATTTTATCACTTCCATTATTTCTGAGATAAATGATTTAGACTCTCTTTTTGATCATATAGCTTAAATATTATAAGAGGATCCTAAAAGGCTATAAGATCTATCGATACTAGTTCTAGAAAAGCGCTATTAATGATGAACTAGAATCGATAATGTCTAATTATACTTGAGAATTAATTTACTTGCCTAGAGGATTTAAACCAATCTGTAACATATGAATCTTCTGGAAGAAAATAAGACTAGATGGTTTGATCCAGTGGTATAAGGCAAGGCTAGTTGTCAAAGGGTTCACTCAAAAGTTTGTTTTAGACTACTTTGATCCTTACTCTCCCGTTATGAACATCTCAATGATCCGTGCATTATTTGCACTAGTCTCTATTCATAAGTTGCGAGTACATCAAATAGATGTTAAGACTGCATTTTTGAAAGGAGATCTAGATGAGGAGATCTATATGAGAACAATGGTACAATAAATTTCATAAAACTATACTTAGTTTTGTTTTGTTGTGAATGGTTTGGATGCTTGCGTGTATTCGAGGATGTTTGATACTGATTGCGTCATCATAAGTTTTGTATGTTGATGACATGTTGATTTTCAGTTCTAACATTGAGTCCATTAACAAAGCAAACGGTTTCTTGTCCACTAAATTTGAGATGATGGATCTGGGAGAAGTTGATGTAATCTTAGGAGTCAAAATTACTGGAAAGGGATTTTCTTTATCTCAAGCACACTATCTTGAGAAAGTGTTAAAGAAATTTGACAGTTTTGATGTCGTCCCTGTTCGAACTCTTGTGACACTAGCATATATCACTTTAAGAATAAAGGAAGTAGCGTTTCCCAAACAGAATATGCTAAATTAATCAGAATTTTAATGTTCTTAAAGAACTATACTCGGCCTGATATTGCTTATACTGTGAGTAGACTAAGTAGATATTGGTGAACACTTGATTGCTCTTAGACGCTTACTGAAGTATATTAAGTGTACTTTGGATTGGAAACTTGAGTTTGTTGGCTATCCTGCGGTACTAAAAGGATATTGTGATACCAACTGGGTTTCTGATAATGATGAGGTAAGCTCTACGAGTGGGTATGTTTTTACTTTAGATGGAGCAGCAATCTTGTGAAAATCATCAAAGCAGACATGTATTGCTCGTTCTACCATGGAGTCAGAGTTTATAGCTCTTGACCTAGCTGGGCAAGAAGCTGAGTGGCTTAGAAGCTTGTTAGCAAATATTCCATTGTGGGGAAGACCGACTCCTCCGATTTCATTATTGTGTGATTCACAAACTGCGATATGTGTGGCTAAGAACCAAGCTTACAATGGTAAGAAAAGACACATTCGCATAAGACATGAATCAGTTAGACACTTAATAAAGAATAGAGTGTTCTCTTTAGAGTATGTGAAGTCGGAAAGGAACCTAGCAGATCCTTGGTCCTAGATTCGTCGAGGGGGATGGGTCTAAAGCCCATTGGTTGAGGAATTCATGGTGGATACACAACTTAGTTATCTAAGTTCCATGTGGTCAAACGAAACCATGGAAAGACTCATAGTGCACATTCCTACTGCCTATCCCTATGATGAATAATGTGCATGCCCAGGATGAGCTTAATTACTCTTAATAAATTCATAGACCATGCTTTGGGTGGTCTTAGTGAGAAAGACTTGATGAATTTACCGATTTTGGTTGAATATCTATTCTTAATAAGTTCATAACCCAGAGTTGAGTGGGTAGTTCTAATCGCGAAGGACTAGATGAACTTACCACTTGAGAGGATGAGTTTTATTAAACTCTTAATGAATTCAAACCCAAGAGTTTGGGAGTTCCTAGTGAGAATGACATATTGAATGAGAGTTCCTAGTGAGAAGGACATATTGAATTCACCAAATTATGAGGTTGAATATTTATTCTTAATGATTTCTTAGCCCAGAGTTTGGGTGGTTCATTAATAATGAACTTGAAGAAAGTCAACATACCCTTTGTGAGGTTGAGCTTTTATAAAAGCTCTTAATTATTTCATATCCCTATTAAGTGTGGTTTATATCGAGATAAACTTGATGAAATAACCTATATAAGTGAGAAAGGTTAGCCGCCTTCTATGAAAAACGTTAGGCTATTTTTCTAGCACACTTACTAAAATCCTGAGGTAAGATGGCCAAATATATACTTTTGTATATATATATATATCTTACACATCGAGGACTCAGGTGGATGAAGGGGCCAGTTGTGTGTTATGAGTTTACCCCCATCTTAGAAAGTTCCAGACTAGTTTCACTTATCTAAGAGAAGGATTGCTCATCATCACTATGTACTAGTTCTAGATACGTTCACTAGTGCTTAAGCAACTAATCTCGCTATTGCTCTTCTGGAAAGATTGTTTTCGAGTTTTAGAAGAATTCTTTCGCATTAGTGGGGGAATGTTGGTAATGCTCAATCCCAAGTAGAGTCGGAAATACTAGTGGGAATGGTATTTAAGGTTCACATTCTCCATTCCCTTGTTGAGTGATAGAGAACAAGGCATGGTAATATATGTCTTTAACACATCCTCACAAATACTATCTTTTTAGAGAAAATTCATAAGGAATTTTTCTCCGAAAGATTAAATGAAAAATGTGAAAGATTCATCTGATATTTATAGCCTACTGAGACTGTTAAAGTTCAAATATTTTAGATGATAATAACTAATTATTAGTTTTCTGAAATTAAATAAATTAAACTGTTATTTTCCTAAATTAAATCAGAATTTAAGATGTATCTGGACTAATTTCAAGCTTTGTTCATGGGAGAGACAAACTGTTAATATTAGGAGTTACAGGAGTTATCTGATTTAATTTCAGGAGTTATAACTGTTTAATTTTTATGCAATGAACATGGACTCTTTTTTGAGCCAGATTCATCAAGAGGAGTTACAAAAAGGGTTTAAATTCAGAATTAAAATCAAATTTAATTTGATTTTCTTGTTGGACGAATTTACCCTTACTTCTAGCCTATAAATAGAGAGCTAAATTCAGCTTCTCAACTCACACTCTTTACAATTAGAATTCACTCTCCAAGTGTTTTCTAAAGTTGTTCTCTCCGTGCTTTCCGATCAGAAGTGCAATACCACCAGCAGTCCACTCCGATTTCGGGTGTACGGAATTCGGAGCGACCGTGTTAACCTCGGGGGACGGTCCGCCTACTGCAGCGATTACACACATCGGGGCGAATTCGTTTCTAAGGCAGTGGTTAATACCACGACACGGTTAATTGGTTCTTTGTTTATATATTTCAATATGTATTTTTCCAGTCAATGCTAATGTCTCGTTTTGCAGCAGTCTATTTTACCAACACCATTTATAACATTTTAGGTGCAATATGTTATGTTACTACATTGATAACTTTTTCGGCTCCACATTATAACATTTTGTGTTCCACTTTTAACTTGTAAGATAAGTTTTCCGGTTAAACATTGTAAGTTGTTTTTAAAATAGTTTTAACCGAATATATTACATAAGTCAACATTTTCAGTCGCCTGAGCCAGTTTTGTTAATTTTTTTTTCAAATTTCCAGTTGCGTCGTTTTTAGCCTTATATTCGTCTGCCTTTCCTCCTCAGACAATCCCAAATAATTTAACTTCTCTATCAATAAACATTTTATTCCCAAACTTGACAACTTTTCAACATGATCTTCTTTTCTTGTCCTTATTAGTCCCTAAGTTTAAACTTGTTCCTTGAATTTTTTATCGACATAAATCTAAGAATTTCACAACTTTTTCAAATTTAATCCCTAAAGTTAGATTCCATCGAGGAATGCGCTATGAAATTCGAATTTAGAGACTAAATTAGAAAATAATTGTGAACTAATTTGAATCAAAGGATTCAACAGAAAGATTGGACGAAAGGGAGTAAGTTGAAAAAATCTGTCAAATTCAATAATTAACCTAGACACACACAAATATTAGGGACCAAGTTATAAAAGATACTGAACCCAGAGACTAATGATGTTTTATCCTTAAATTTTTACAAAATGTCGTCACTTGTTATTTTTCAGTTTTCAGATCAGAGTTACAGATCCACGTAACGTCGAAGAGCGTGAGCAACACTTCTTAAAACCCAATTTCGTCCACCGCTGTAACGTGAAGCCCTAAGAAACACACTAAAGCAAGATTCTAAGACTAACAAAAATAAAAGCAGTTTCATTTCTTGGCTAAGCTTCTTCAAAGGTAATCTGTTCTTTTCCCTTTCTATTTACAGTAATTGATGATTTCTTTCTGGGTTTCGTTTGATAGCTTATTTGGTTTTTGTTTTGTTTTTTTTTTTACGTTTAACTGTTGTTGGAACTTGGGTTTTCCTTCATTTTCTAATCTGAAACTGCTACTTCAAAATATTTGATTTTTAATTTGTTGAACCTCTCATTGTAAATGTAAATTTCTTATCTGTGCACTTTTGTTCCCCAGTAATAGGGTAAGAAAAAGAGTATAATTGAAATGTAGTCAGTTCCCGAAAAAAGTAGAATTTTATGAAAGGCCAAAGAACCGTAAATCTAAACCAAGGAAATCATAGCCTCATGGGTAGTATAAAATTATTGTAAATTCAAAATTCATATGGCTTCTCCCATTTTGAGCGTACGATTGAGTTGATCCTGTATCATGAACTTCATATAAAAGCTTCATTTATCGTGATTTCAATGCTAACAAGTTCGTTTGCTTCCGCCATTAAATTATGCGATCGAAAAGGCTTCAGGTCAAATGGATTATTAATAAAGCTAATGGTATCTTGTTTAGACAAGGTTAAAAGGTGTGTGTGTGTGTGTGTGTGAAGGTTCTTCCTTTGAAGAAACACCACATAGGAGCTTCTAGTTAAAAAGGAAAAGGTGTGGTTGAGAACTTGGAATTGGCCGTCAACTGTTCTCTGCATTTCAGATTTTGTTAAATGGTTTATTTTCAAACTGAAGGTATGAACTTTTTGGTAACCCTACTATGAAGGTTGTGACTTTAACTGCTAAGCACCGTTGGTGCTAGAAGGAGAGAGCGAGGGAAGTGTTTAACCATAAAGTTATAAACAAGCCTGCACTGTAGCCTTTCTGAGTCTTCTCTATGCATTAGACTAGGTCAGCACTAACGTTTGATATCTAGATTGATGTTATGCTAATTAGTTTAATTGGTTTTTGCAGCTATGGGAACCCGAGGAGTTATCGGAGATAAGTGGTCTATGAGGATTCTATGGGCCTGTGCAATCGGAAGTGCAATTGGTATGCATTATTGATCTTGAACTCGGCGCATACTGCATTACATAAGTTACTCAGAGATCAATAACTTTTATCTTCTTTCGTGGCTCATGCCTGTACTTTCACTATGGTTTCTTGTGTAGGCCTGTATATGGTTGCTGTAGAAAGACAGCAGCAGAACAGGGACCGAATGATGGCCGAAAGTTTGAAGGCCATGGAATCCGCAGGTGGTGGTGAGTAAAGCTTTGAATGTTGGCATAAATTACGCTTAAACAACTTGTTAAAGAGCTTCCCCAACATTTTTGATTGGAGGGATATTTTCTCATTTGGTAATAAACTTATTGGATAGATGAACAACGTTCTACATAGATGATTTATCATAAGCAGTTGATGTGCCGTTTCTCTCTCTCTCTCTCTTTTTTTTGGGAACTGCGTAGAATTGTGAGAAACTCCTGAAGAATAGCAACTTTTGTAATGCTCTAATGGAAATAAGAACGAACATGGAATTCTTATACCTTTCTTCAGGTAAATTACAAATTTAGTACTTAAAGTATCACTTTTGTTCCGTTTTAGTACTTAAAACTTTATTATTTTTTTTCACAACCATACCTCTTGTTTAGTTTAGGGTCTATTTTGGTATCACGTCGTTAAAAAATTAACAGAACTGCTGATGTTATATATATATATATTATTTTTTCAATAATGATGTAGTATTACCTTATGGTGATAAGTCCACATCATCGTTAAGTTTTTAACGGCGGATATTAAATTGAGACTTAAACTAATCCGTAGCTATGATTTTGAAAAAAAAAATATTTACCAAAACTGAATAAAAGTAGTAGTTTATGCATTAAATGTGTAGTTTACCCTTTTTCTTTTTGGTCAGATTAGGAAACCAGAGTTTTGAGACTAGCAGGAGATTCCTGACTAGAACACAAAATATGACGGGAGAATCTTAACCAGCTTTACAGGGATGGTGCAACCAGGGGAATGTTAATCCGTGTCTAGGGACAGAGGTTATTTTTTCTTTACAAAAGAAAAATCTAATTAATGATTATCCTTTTTTTAATTGAATAAAATTATCGTAAAAAAAGAAAAATATAAAAATGATAACCGAATAGTCTTTAATTAAAAGTTTAATTTTTTATCACTATAATTGTGCTTAAAAGTCAAATAAGTCATTGCTTTTATAAATATTCATAACAATTAGTCTTAGAACTCATCAAACGATCTTAACAGTAAAAAGGAATAGAATTCATCAAACGATTTTATTAGTAAAAGGGAATGTTGTTTTCCTTAAAAATTTTGTATGTGTATATGTTATCAATATCTAAGAAAAATTATAAACAAATATTATTTTATAATTATTTTCAATTATAGTGCAAAAACATTAAGTCATGAAAAACTTTTCAGTTCTTGTTGTAGTCGGGCGGCACTAAAAATTGAGTTTGATTTGAAAAAAAAATGAGATAAAATACAGATAAAAATAAAAAGATTAAATTAATTGAATATAATATTGAATTAATAGAATGTATAAATAATAAGAACTAATAATATTATTATAAAAAATAATAACACATATTAATATATAATATTAGTGATGTATATGTACAACATTTGATGTAGCCTCATTCTACCTGACTTGTTCATTGACTTGAACTGTTGGTCGACTCGAATTATTTATTGACCTAAACTATTTACAGTAACAAAAAATACATTTCATAATATTTTTATTAATACATTTCATAATATTTATCTAATCTAAAATAATTTTAAATTTATATTATATCATAAATAAATAATATAAATTTAATTTTTAAAATAATTAAATATTAATTTTACAAAATAAATAAATATTTATTTAATATTATTTTTATTCCCAAATGTAATTTGAAAATATTTTAGTTTTTAATTTAACACTCAGCATGCAAATAAATTATTGAATTTAATTAAAAAATAATTTAATTCATCTACTAGTCATAAATCTATGAACCGTTATATTAGTATTGCAAAGTTTCATATTAACATTATAACAAAAATTATTGGTCAAAATATCACTTTAAACTTTTTCCAAGTTTTAAGATCACATCAAATATAAAAATATTTTGAAAGTCACGATAATTTTTTTTAAAAAAAAAGTACAGGAACCAGTAACATTTTTATTAAATTTATTTATAATCTTTAAAATTTTATTATTAAAAATAATATTAAAATAATTTAGTCCTAACTTTTCCTTTTTCTTCCGTAGCTAAGAGGCATTTGAATATTGGACACACAGTTATCTCCAGATTTCTGTCTCTTATTTTTCGATCTTGGAAACAAAACCAAATATTCATAAACGCGATGTCAATCTGCTCTCCATCTTCCTCGACTTCTTCAACAGGTAAAGCTTGGATAGTTCACAGTGTTCTGGCTGGCGCAGCACTTGCGGTAGCCATAGGTGCCCATGCCTATCTGGGTCGGGCTAGGAAGTTCCGGACACGGGTCGTCGGAATTATACCCGCCAGGTATGCCTCTTCTAGGTTCGAAGGCAAGCCTTTGGTTCATATCCTTGGGAAACCCATGATCCAGGTACCCCTTTTTGTTAAAACTTAAACTCCTTGATTTTATCTAAAATTTCATTTTTTTTTCTTCACGTTCCTCCTTTTTCTTTTCATTTTTATGGATTATGGTTTCGTATGAATTTTGATTGGGCTTTCTTTTAATGTAAATCAGGAGATTAGGGAGTTAATTTTATTTTCTAATGCTTTGATCATTTGGATCATAATATTGGAGAAAAAGTAGAAGATCCAATCTTTTATGTGCAAGATGTTTAGTTATGCAATGAACCATTGCAATTAATATTTACAAGTTTAATTACTTTCCTAAAACCAGGGATCAACATTCTGCAAATTAGAGACTGAGTATTGCAGATTATAAATTTGGTATCGATAGGGTTCAGATTTCCTTGGGACCGCAGTAAGACGGTGTATGCCTGAGATGGAAGATGATCTATATAAAATTTGGAATACGTTGAACCGTATTTGAACTAGTAAATTCCAGTTTGTTTGACTACAGTTGATCTTGTGATATTGGTGTGGGCAAAGATCTGGGTTTCGTTACATGTGTAGGAAGCTATGTTACTCGGACTTGAGTGTGAGCATTGGATTCGAGAATGTATGACATGTGTATGGTTAGACTTTGCTGAAATTGTTCATGTCTTTGGAGGATTTTTGGAGGTCATTTCTCCATATCCATGTTGAACTCGAGTGTTGGAGACAGAAAGAAAAATGAAGAGTCCGAACATTTGTAGGAAGTATTTTATAGATTGAAAATTAGTTCTATTGATTGAACATTCTTTTGCTTATGTCTAGAAGCATGACATTATATATTCCCACATTTAATTTCAGTGAAGTTAAAACACGAGCAGCATCATTTTTTTTGCCCAATGCGATGAACAAAAAAACTTTGGTTCTCACAAGTTCAATTTTTATTGCTGAATTTTAAACATTTGAGCCATGTTTCGCAAATTTTGATGCTAGTACATGTTTCTGTCTTGTTGACATTCTGTTGGTCTTATACAGAGGACATGGGAAAGGTCAAAACTGGCAACTACGTTGGACCATCTAGGTAAGTTTACCACTTGATTTCCGTTTGATTTTTTGGTAATTCAAACTATTTGGAGAAAAGATCCAAGTCGATTATATAATCTAAAAGCATGAATTTAGGTTTAGTGCAATGATTGATGACTTAAATATTCACCTTGGTGCTGTTTTGTTTGTCACACTTTTTCTTTTTGAGATATTGTTTATCGATTTAATAGTGCAAAATCCTTTGCATATGTGATTTATACTTTATGATTGGTGTTATGAACAAAATATGAGTGCATAATAAATAGGGATGTCATAATGGTTGCTTCTGACCTTTTGAGTTGGATGGTTTAGTGAGTTGTCTGAATTTTTTATTTTCTGTAACTTCTTTGTCTGAAGTGGCTTTGCTACTCATTGCATTATTTCTTTCTCATGTAGTTGTGGCAACGGATGATGAAAAGATTGCAGAATGCTGTCGAGGATTTGGTGCTGATGTGATCATGACGTCAGAATCTTGTCAAAATGGTGGGGCGATGATTATCATCATATTTATAATTTCATTCTTTGATTTGCTGACATTGTGGACCCTTTCTTTGGTAACGTATAGGCGCTGAAAGATGTTATGAAGCACTTGAAAAGCTTGAGAAGAAGTACGACATTGTTGTGAATATTCAGGGAGACGAACCTCTTCTTGAACCTGAAATAATAGATGGAATTGTTAAAGCACTGCAGGTTTGTTATTCTGAATTCCATAAAGTAGTATCTGCACTATGCAGCTCCTTTTATGTTGTTTCAGTGACTAATCTATTTCCTTGTACAAGTGTTTGTTTCATGTGGCGTCAAAATGGTCTATCTGTGTTGCAGGCGGCACCAGATGCTGTGTTTAGCACTGCCGTAACATCTTTGAAACCTGAAGATGCTTTTGATCCAAATAGAGTGAAATGTGTGGTTGATAACCGTGGTTATGCTATTTATTTCTCTAGAGGACTAATACCCTTTAACAAGTAAGATTTTACATCTATATGAGCGCATGTCTGTATTTTCGTTGACATCTTTCGTTTTCATTGCATTTGCTCTAATGTATTTTTCACTTGATATAGATCTGCGAAAGTTAATCCACGGTTTCCTTACTTGCTTCATCTTGGAATTCAGGTATCAAGATGCTCGTTGCATATTGTAATTGTTTTAATGGAATTCTTTGTTTCTTCAGTTAATAATACTGATTAATGTCCAAATAGAGCTATGATTCGAAGTTTCTGAAATTATATCCAAAGCTTCAGCCTACACCATTGCAACTAGAAGAGGACCTGGAACAGCTTAAAGTCCTTGAGAATGGCTATAAGATGAAGGTATGGTAAAAATCTTGTACTTGTTTAATCCTTCTTCTGGTAAAGTAAGATTACCTTGAATACTCTCTTTGTGTGCATATAATCATTGTATTCTTTATCACATATAGACTGTCATTTTCGTTTAGAATTTGTAAATAATAGGCATAAAAGAGAAAGACGAGACGCAATACACAAGCAAAGATTATAAAATTATATGAAAATGATTGATTTTGTGCAGGTGATAAAGGTTGAGCATGATGCTCATGGAGTCGACACACCTGAAGATGTGGAGAAGATTGAATCTCTAATGCGCGAGAGAAACTTGTCTTAGTATGATTAAATCTCTTGTGGATTAGGATTATTATTATGATAGGAGGGAGTTAAGAATTGTTTGTTCCAATTTAACTTAATCATCAATGTCTCCATTAAGCAGA